GATCATGCGGCTGTTGGTAGACTTTACTCGGGAAAAAACCTAACGCCCCAGGTTAATAAGATGGGCTTTAAAACTCCAAGAATATAATATCACAATAAAATATAAACCGGGTAAGGAAAACAATGTAGCTGACGCACTTTCTCGTATAAAACTGGACGAGAAGGTAATGAACTTAAATGCGCTGTGTTGACTTCAAAAATTTTAGATTCTAGAGATACGGTTATTACTGAACTGAAAGCTGATCCTGAATTTGGAAATATCTATGCTTATTTGAAAGACCCCCCGAAAGCTTTGAGCATACAGATATCGATGCGATAAGAAATAGAGCAAAAAACTATGAAATAATAGATAATTTATTATTCTATACGAAAACAACAAACGAAAAATCTTGAGTATAAGCCAGTCATCCCAGCCTCGCTTCGATTAAGCATTTTGAAGGAGTTGCACGAAAAAAAACAGCGGGTCACCTCGGGGTCAGAAAGACTATAAAAGGGTACGCGAGGCGGTATATTTCCCGCAATTATACAAAATAGTAACGGCGTATGTCAGGTCCTGCAATCAATGTCAGTTAATAAATGATATTACAGCCCGGCCGGGTACTTAAATAGCATTCGCGCTACATTTCCGCATGAAATTTTAGGCATAGATCTCCTTGGTCCCTTCCCCCAGAGCGAGTTAAATAAAAATCGTTTTCTTTTAGTAATAGTAGATCATTTTTCAAAATGGATAGAAATTGTTCCACTTAAACGCGCGTCAGCCAAAACAGTCGCAGATGCATTCTTACACAGATACATTTTAAATACGGTGCACCGATAAAAGTCATTAGCGATAACGGAAAACAATTCATTAGTCAAATATTTGAAAACATATGCAATGGACTTGATATACGCCATATCAAAATGGTTCCGTATAGACCACAGGCTAACATAGCAGAAAGAGTTAATAAAAAAAACATTGTAAAAATAATTCGCAGTTACGTTAGCACACATCACAAGCGCTGGGATGGCTACATAAATGAATTAGCTTATGCTTTTAAGAACGGCACATCATGATACTACGGGAAAAACTCCAGCAGAATTATTTTTAGGCCAGAAAGTTAATTACGCCTTTAGATAAATTATTCTTTGTGCAACAAAGAGAGCAGGAATTTAGACAAAAGGACGTGCAAAAGCTAATTGATCAGGCGCTTAAAACCTCGGATACGGCAAGAAATAGGCAGAAAAAGTTATATTATGATAGAAAAACGCGCGTGAAGCAGATTTTAAAGTTGGGGATAAAGTATTGAAACGGAAATTTTCTTTATCAAGTGCCCCAGACAATTTTATGGCAAAGCTAGCTCCAAAAGTTTGAAGGCCCCTATGTAATTCAGGAAATCAAAGGAGTAGTCTTATATCTTAAAAACGAGAGAGGGGAAATCTGTAAAAAGCAAGTCCCGACCAGGTGAAAAAATACTATAATCCAAATGATTTTGAAATCCTTAAAAGTTTCTTGCAGGACTCAAGTCTAAACGAAATAGAAGGGCCAGAGACTGCAACACACTATTCCACCACCCAAGAAACGGAGAACTGAAGAGAGACCTAGCACTTCTACAACCCGGACGTCGGTATCAAAAAGAAAAAAGGATTTTCAAACTCCGGCGTTTAAGAAAAACAAAAATACAGATGAACCGGGTAAAGAAAACCGTGGGTAAAGACGAAAACACCACCTACAAAAGATGGCAGGAGAAATTACACATCAAGGAGAACGCGCACACGGCCACAGAGTCAGGTGCCAGCAAGGCCGCCGTTCCGGAAACTGAAACGCCAACAGGAGGCACAGAAGTACGAGGAACAGAAGAAATTCAAGAAGGACTCCAGACCGGAGGAACGTCACGACCAGCCGTCCGAGGCAGAAACGCAAAGGCCAACAACCAGACGATTACTCCGTCAAGAGGCCAGCATGTAGAGGACGCAAAAGAAAGAGCAACGGGGACGACACTCGCAGATCAATAAGGAGAAGATTGACATCCATGACACCTCTAACTTGGGATCATTTTGTCCAAAAACGGATGACGGAGTTTCAAGCATCGAAAACTCAAAGATAAGTTAAAACCTTCTATAAATTTTTTTTTTCTCTTTTGTTCCGAAATGTTTATGCATAAGTACGAAGTTCTATGTTTTGACGAAAGTCAATATGTCTCGGTTGAGACTTAGTTTTGTTTTACTTTATTTAGCTAAAGGCAAAAGTATTATTTTCTTTAAGTGTAAAAGCTAAAAACAAGCATTTTCTGTTGGTCGAAAGACTAATTCTGTTATGTTAAAGCCAAAATTTGGCCGGAGATAAAAATAACTTCGTATTCTTGTACTAATAAGAATTTTAGTTTCATTCAGTGCCGCCAGCTTGGCGAAGAATGAGTAAAGTAAAAATTTATTTTCTCTTATTCATTTTATGGTAAATTGTAAAAAGCATATGTATTAAACTTTTGTAAATGTATGTAAATACTTGCATGTTATGTAAAAGTAGAATTTAGTCTAGAAGCATAAAATTGTAGATGCTAAAAGTGAATGCTTAAAAGCAATGAACTCAAAATTTAAGTATTAAACTGTAAAGTCATGCTTTAGAGCGAAAGCCTGCATGTTTAAAGATGAATGAGGGGGAAGTTAGAATGAATGTGTTTTGTAGGGTTCTCCACCTACATTTGAATTTTTATAATATTAAGAATATTAAAGTAGCTCATTGAGTTGTAGAATGTCGAGTAAGGTGTGTCTATTTGGTGTTGAATTCTAACAAATCATGGTGGTTAGGGGAAGTGTTGTAAGACTAAAACACGAATATTCCCGTTTGACACCACACATGGTGGAGAGCCAGGGTAAAGTTAAATTAATGCTTGAAAAATTGAATGAATGTGAAGTAAGCAATAACTAAGAAAACGAAACGTTTAAAAACAAAAATTTATTGTGTCAAGAAAATGTAAATTATAATGTATGTAGAAAGATACTGATACTTATTCCTTCCAGATGCTGGAAGGAAAGAGACCAAGATTGATTGATGAAGTCCAGGAAAAGTTGCTGTAAGAAGAAAGCTTTGTAACGACTAACAGAATTTTAATATATAATTGTTACATAAGATTTTTTTGTGTAAACGAGGCTTTCGCCAGTTAGTTCAGAATTAGATAACTTACAACAGGTCGTTTGTAGGACCTGCTTTCAAGTTTTCCAAATTTTGGCAGCGGCAAATGTAGGGTTTATATTATTTTAACTAACATTTATTTTAAGTTTAAACTATCTTTCCTGTCAAGCCTTACTTTCCCCTGGAACTGCCAATGCCAGAATATGTAAATTTTGAGTAGAACGCGCAAGCATTCAAATTATCAGCGGAAGTAGTATGATTTAAATAGAAGGAAACGAGTTCGGTGAGAGAATTATTCTTACTTCAGCGAGCGCGGAGGTAGAAATCGAGAATTGAAGAACCCCCGCGTTGCGGCCTATGTGCTTGGCGGGAAGTAGTTTGCAATTGTTCCCGTGAGCTTCAAGTCTGCTGAATTAGCTGCGGCTTTTGTAAAAACGCGGTGAGTTAGTTATTTTTAGAGAGCCTCGTAGTTAGAATATTGTCTTTACTTTCTTTTCAGGTTCTTATTTTTATTTTGACTGCCGAGTTGGCACCGTTTGTAAGCGTCAAGAGAACGCAATTGTAATTCATTACGTTGAATAAAAAGGGACTTAAACCCTTTACAAGACTCTGTGGTTTATACAAGCTTTCACAGTCACCCTTGGTTGCGTGCAAGTTGTAGGCGCGCAACGTTATAGTACAAATATGTAATATTTTGAATATATCACTTAAAAGGAAGAGCTTTATGGCAATAAAATATGAAAAACTAGTTAAATCATTTGTATGCCGAAATGGCAGTGTATATACTCAAACACTTTACTTTATACTTCAGTTAAACTCATATATAGAAGTGCTTTGCTTTATTTTTCAGCTAATATATTCATACCCCATTGTAGTGTATAAATTTTATTTCCCTTGAGTGCGATGAAATTGTCCAGAAACCGAGATAATAATCATCTTATTCTCCAGATTTTATGTTCTAGCATATTTGTCTCTCTCTCTCTCTCTATATATATATATACTTGCATAGTGTTTTCGTGCTTTAAGCTGCTGAAAATTACCTTGAAGGATATAAAATAAGAAATTTATAACTAAAGTTTCACAAAGACCAAAAATTTTGAAATTCATAATTAATAAATTTCAAATAATTTTGTAAATGCAACAAATAATTTTATAAATGCAACAAATAATTTTATAAATGCAACAAAGAATTTAATAAATGTAAAAATCTAAACTTTTAAACCATCAAAACTCCTATTCAAAAAAAATTTAAGAAACTTAAAGAAGAAAGAACACAACAGAAGAAGAATTCAGTCAACTTCAATGCCACTTCATCAGGGAAAAGGAATATTGAAATCAACTGAAATCTTTCTTCTACAAAAATCCTTGCTTTATATACATATATTCTCATGTAGTACAAACATGTCAAATGCAATGTGTATATTTATTCGCTATTCAATGTTTTAGAAGAGTATGAAGAAAGAAAGAATGGCAATTTAAAATTCTAATTAAGGCAAAATTCAACAAAGACTAACCTTACGTTTCGAGAAAAAGTCTATTTCGTTAAAGGCAGGCAAAGGTCACTGTCTCAAGAAGAAAAATGTTCATAACATAAGAAAGGCTGTGAGTAAATTATGCGCTTCGATTGGTCTTAAAATTTTACAAGTTTTAAAGTTACAGAATGTTCTAGCTTAGTTTATAAGCTGCATATATAATAGAATAAAACTTATTGTTATTATTGCAGCACAAAGATAGCTAATCGATGTGTTCAGTATCTTTAAGTTCATTTTAAAATTCTTTTATGCACGGTAAAATTTAAGTACAAAACAATTTGTATGTGCCTTTCACGTGTACTTTAACCAGAAACATTTCTAAAAATAATCACAAAGTATTTTTTCAACAGAAATTTTTGATTCATTAAATATCTAATTTAATTTATTGTATCTGAATAAAAAGCCATTCATTTGCCTCTAAAATAAAAAACAAATGTATTAAAACTTCATTACATTTTTCATTAATTTGAAAAAAAAAAAAAAAAAAAAAAAACCTTAAATACTAAATCTGGAAGTGGTCATCTTCTATGTACATCATCAAACACCTTTTTGTCCTTAAATTTATTTTGGTGGCGTCACCAGCAGACATACGCGAAATAGATTTCCTGTCCCAGAAGGATTAATTTCGATAGGTACGTCTTGATGGTATCTTATTAGATCAGAGATTGTTGAGAATGTCTGCAAAAGAAAATTTTTTAAAAAACTGTAATTTTAAATACGAAAACTTTTCCAAAAGTACGTTTAGAAAAATTACTTTATTAAACTAAAGAAGCATAAATGCAATGTTTAAAAGCAAAAAATAAAAAAAATCACAAGAAGAGGGAGGTCAATAATAAAAATAATTGACGAGCACTACGCTTTTGAAAAAGCCTATTGATCTTGTTTTATTTGTTACCGAGTGTTTTGTTTATACGAAATAAAATTAATTTCACTACCTGATATCTTGATCATTTAGTGCGCCAATCAAAGAAACACAATTTTCGTTATAATTGCTTATTTATTTCAATATTTTCGAATATGTAGTTCATTTCATAATGGAAGTGCATAATTCGTTATTATATCAATTCATAATATTAACTTTTCCAATAAGAAACAAAAATTCAGCTACTCCGAAAGTTTAATAATCTGGATAGCCTAGAGAATGTATGGTAGATTGTCCATTCAGTTAAACATACTTGGTAAGATGTGTAAAATAGAAAATTATTGCTAAACTAATATGACATTGTTTATTCAGTGCTATATGTTAGAAGTATTATCATTGTGATATCATCCCGTTCTTCATCCACCGCCTCATAGAGAAATAACTCCACCTTCTTGTATTTTTAAACATTTATTTTACAAACACAAAACTAATACTAAACTACAATACTAATAACTGAAATATATAAAGTAATAAAAGAGAATTTCGGTTTCATTAATGGCTCCCACGAGCCTTCCGTATGACCTCTTTGTCAAACTTCTCCCTCTTGGAAACTAAAACCTTTTGGCGTTTCTCCAGACTGAGAGTTAGCGCCCTCTATACATCTCGTTGGTTGGCGTCACCCATACATCACACCCCCCATCCAAGATTGAAATAGGGTGAAAGCCTATTGAAATATGACAAATTATGGTGACGTCAAACAAAGGAGTTACTTACCTACTAAAGTCTACAAATCAATCGATACTGAAGTTGAAAGATATGTAACACAATACTTATACAGGCTAGTTCTAAACCTACTACAAGACTTCTTCTAAAACTGTAATATATAAATGATTAAAATTAGTATTCAAACAATTCTAATGCAATAGAATACTTAAAGCGTCTATGATATACTTAAAAGTCTCTAGGTGAGTAGCTGAAAAAGAAACACACACATAAAAAATAATAATATTAAGAGTTCATAAATGTCTATGAAAAGTTCTTTCTTTCACACAAGTCACTCAGTAGTCTCTAGTCTGGACAACGCATCAGCATTGCTTAACTTAACACCTGGGCAATGTGAAATTGTAGTATCATACTTTTGTAATGCTAAAGCCCATCTCTGTAACTTAGAAGATTGTGGTGCGTTCTTTGTGATGAAAGTTAACGGATTGTGATCAGTTATCAGTTTCACAGGTGATCCAAAAATCCAAGTTTCAAACTTTTTCAAGCTCCAAATAACAACATAAGCTTCCCTCTCGATAGTTGGCCATGCTTGTTGTGTTTTGGTAAGTTTCTGGCTGGCATAACTAATCGGGTACAACTTTCCGTTTTTCCTTTGAGATAAGCAGGCTCCAACACCTGTTGAGATGCATCACATTGAATTATAAAAGGTAACCCTGGAACAGGGGTATAAAGACTAGGTGCTTCCATTAGGCATTTCTTTAATTAATGGAATGCTTCGTCGTGTTTTTCTGTCCCAGCACAGCTCTTCAGGACTTCTTCTTTTGGTGAGCTCGGTTAATGGATAAGCTGTTTCGGCATGTAACGTGGAATGTAATCTCTGTAAGAATTACATAGGCCTTAGAATGCTTTTCAATTGTTTTTTTGTTTGAGGTCTAGCTAATTTCCAGATAGCCTCCACTTTCTCTGGATCTGTACGATGAAGACTGCCAGAACCGATGATATGTCCTAGATACTTAATATGAGTTTTAGCGAAGGAACATTTCTTGAGATTTATGGAAAACTGTAGTTCTAACAGTTTTGAAAAAATGGTGTCCAAGATGTACTAAATGTTCATTCCAACTATTTGAATAAACAGCTATGTCATCGACGTAGGCTCGAGCAAAATCTTTTATTTTGCAAGGGCCTGGTTCATCACTCTCTGAAATGTTGCAGCGGCCGTTGCGTAGCCCGAAAGGCATGACTTTAAATTGATACTGAGCTCGATGTGTCTTGAAACATGCTAATTCTTGACTCTTCTCTTTCTAATGGTATGGCCCAATAGCATTTGAGTAAATCAATGCTGGATATCACTTTGGCTTTTCCAATGTAGAATAAGAGCTCTTTAGGATTTTCCATAGGGAAGTCATCTGGTTTCGTTACTGCATTAAGGGATCTAAAATCAACGCAAAGGCGAATATTACCGTCTTTCTTCATAACGCATACAATAGGGTACGAAATTTCAGCGTTGGTTTCTTCAATCAATCCCATTCATAACATTTCTTTATCTACTTGAGTTTATCTACTTGAGTTATTTGTTTATCTACTTGAGGCTTCAATGCTTCTGGAATTCGATAAACATATGGCTTCTTCCTTTCATTGTCACTTAATCTTATTTTATGTTCTCCTACTCTTGCAATTTGTACCTTATTTATAAATAAGTTTTCATATTTTCCTAACAAGTTCATCATTTCATTCCTTTTATCATCATCTAAATGGCTTAAATTTACTTCGCTAAGATGAAAATGATCGGACTTGTCACTCACACTGGGTGTGGGATGGACTTCTCCTAGTTCTTCTTCGTTCTCAAATATTACACCTACTGCCTGTACTTTTGGATTAAATTTTCGAATTTTATTTACATGTACTCTTTTATTGTACCATCTGTCAGTCTGACTCTGTAAGAATCTGGATTACAACGAGATACTATTTCTGCAGGTCCCTATCCATCTGGCATATAATTTATTACTGGAATCTGGAATCAGCAGGTACACTTGATCTCCAGGGTTGAATTCTTTATATATCACTCCTTCGATTAGCATATCTTGTATATGCAGCCTTGTTTCAGTTCTGCTAGTTATAGGATGCTTGCTCTGCTGTTCTAATTTCTAATTCTTTAGCTTCCTGTAGATAATCAACAGCACTTTTACACAATTTTTATTGGTAATGGAAATTTCTCCTGACCATGACGATTTTAATACTGACAATGGAACCTCTGGCCTCTCTTCCATACATTAATTTAAATGGGGATACTCCCGTAGTACAATTTAGGAATTTCTTGCGGTAAGCGAATAACAGGTATGGTAATATGTTTGTCCCAATTTTTAGCTAGTCGTTTTGGATGATATGATGAAGCATACATTTTAGAACTTGGTTTGTATCGTTCAACTAATTCCGAACTTTGTGGATGTCCTGGTGTTGTAAATCTAGGACTTGCTCCTAATCTGGCTTGAAATTCTTGTGTGTTAATTCTTGCAACAAAATTGGTACCTTGGTCATTAACAATTACGCCAAGGTATGCCTGTTCTCGAAAAAGCCCGTTCTCATAAAGATTTCTAATAATGTGTCGCATGTTGATTTTGCTGTAATAGTTCTCAAAGGGACAGCTTCTGGCCACCTAGAATGTTGGTCGAATAAACATAGTACATATTTGTGTTTACGTGCTGATGGAGGTTCAATTGGACCGATTATATCTACATTCACAGTGTCAAATGGAAATTCAGGCCTCTGAACTGGAAGTATGGGTATACGATCGTTAGTTCTTTCTCTACTTTGTAATTGACATTCCTTACAAGTTTTACAATATCTTCAATATCTCGTGACATGTTTGGCCAATAAAATGAATACGAATAACGAATCCTTTCTTTTGTTTTTCTCATCCCTAAATGATTTGCAAAAATAGATTCGTGAGCTAATTTTAAAATTTGTTCCCTTCTAACTTTAGGTGAATACCAATTGACTAACCTGTTCTCCGGAAATTCTTTCAGTATGATAAATCAAATCATCCATTAAAAAATATTTATTTTTATTTCTTTGCGCGTCTTTATAGATACTTGCGTAATGTCTTCACATTTCCTTTGCTGTTGTTTAAAAAATACTGGCATCCGAATGTTGACCCACATTTAATTTATTAACATTTAATTTATTTTATCACTTTCGTTTTCACTCTGAATGCAACTTATGACTAAATCTTGCTCTCCTCCTGTCATACATAAACCAGCGCGGCTTTCGCCTTCGAATTGTTTTGACTGATGACTCCTCGTTTCCGGTATCTGCGATGGAGACACTGTGTCGCAATCACGATTCGCGCTAAGCAAATGAGATTCAGAGGTCAATAAATCATAAACATTTGGAGTAATTACGCAGGGAATATGAAGTTTTTCTGTTAAAGCTACTAATACTTCGACAGGTTTCAATAAATTAGGATTATCAGTATTTTTGATGGATAGAGGAATTCTAGCCACTTTAGCTGATATGGTTTCTCCAAATGCATAAATTAGGTCAATATTACAGTCGTTCTCAATAGAGAAATTTGATATGTGTTTCTGATTTATAACAGAAATCTTCAGCACCCGAATCAATTATGGCTTGGATTTCGTTACCTGCAACGCAAATATATTACCTTTTGCAATGGTTGCGTAAAAATTTCATTTGACAAGCATGAAGATCCGATTTTTGCTATTACTTTATCACTAGTATTTTTCTCTGGTGTTTCCTTTTTTAAAGGAGGTTTTTGTGTTACCGATTTGTTTTTTTGTGGACAAGATTTAGCGAGATGCGTTAATTTTCCACATATGTAACAGTCTTTGGGTGGATATTTATTTTTATTTGTGTTGCTTCTCATATGAGGCGGAATATATTTCGATTCTCTTGAAGAGTGGGACGATTTATCTATGTTTTCATTAGTGTTAAAAGTAGTTTCGTTTAACGATTTGCCTTTGTTTACAAAATACAAGTCAACTTCTTTAGCTAAATCCTTAGGTTTTAACCAATTTTATCCTGTTTTAATATTAATGTAAGTTGCCGTTTCTTTGTCTAACGTTTGGAAAAGTTTGTT